AGCCAATTATTTAAAATCTTGGTGATAAACTTGTTAAACACCGTGCATAAACTAATTGGCCTGCAATCAGTCCATTTACAGGCCCCTTCCCCTTCCGGGAGCAAAACAAGAGAAGTAGTAGTAAAGCCCTTGGGCAGGTGGCCCTAGCAAAGAAGTCAAACATGGCACCAAATACATTATCCTGGATAATCTCCCAATAATGCTGTTAGAATAAAGATGAAAAGCCATCAGGGCTGGCAGCTATCAGCATCAATGCGAAAAATCATAGCTTTAGTTCACTGGAGTATGTACAGATCTAGGAGTCTGAGTATACCGATCAAATTCATCTCAATATTATTTCTACTCCCTAGTTAAGAAAATTATGAGAAAACTTTTATCAACTTCGTGTTTTGGTTTGAGCAATTTCTCTTTACACCTTCGAGAGTTTTAATTGGATGTCAACAAAAAAGTACGTCACCTCTTATAGTCAGTTTCAATTATTTCAGAGAATGTGGGAATCCCAATGTAAAAACCCAACGTAAGAAAAGGAAAATAAAAGAAATTTACAATTCAAACAAAAGCAAGAGATTAAACAAAAATAATATGCATGTTCCTTACTAAGTTCTAGATTTTCTAAAGTTTCCGTTATTTCAGTACTTATAAATTGAAAATAAGAAGGTCCTCCAATGCCCTATATTCACTATTTCATCAAGTTGAACTTGTTTGATGCAAGCTAGTTCATTGAAAAGTTTATTTTTTAATTTTATCATACAAACTAGTCCATTGACAAGTTTAACTATCAGAATGTTGCCAGGAGGCTTCAATCGCTTTGTTCCTTGTCGGAGACATGGAACAAATTACTTGGATTATTAGCCTTAAGTCAGAATAGAGAGAGAGATTTCAGATAACATAGAACATAAGGATCTTACATTTGGTGAATTACGACGTGTAGTTGCTGTCACCAGAGTTAAACCTCTTGTATTGTCATAGACTAATGGCTTCCATTCTGCAAGAACTACAATGTACAAAAGGAAAACATTTTAAGCTATCCAAGTTATTTAAGGTAGTTGTATCAAACTAATGCTACAGATGGCATGTAGTTCATCGTAAACAAGTTTAATTTTTGCTAAAAGTTAGAGGAATGGAGAAGAAAAGCATCATAATTCTACTCTTGCACAAGAATCAGGCATGGATTGTATTGGATAATTTTCAAAATACTATTTTTTGGCAGGAGAAAAAATTATACCAAAAACACCACTGCTATTGTTGAAATCAGCAGTTTGAAGAAGCCACCTTGAGAGTGAATATTTTTGCTTGGGAAACATCTCGTGATAGTATCCAACTGGTGAGAAGTCGAGAAATAGATGGAAAAGATTGTCAAATGTTGGGTGTTATGTTGAAAACATGATGAAACC